ACCCAACTCACACTAACCCGACCCGTTTACCCGAATTGACAACTCTAATCTAGATACATGTAATATTAGACATGTGTAGAAAGATTTAGAGAGTGGCGAACAACCACTATAAATATGTTGTATGTGAAAAGGGTTAGGAGGTGAGCTAATCAAAAGAGTTCCACCAATGATTGATAGAAACTAGGGGTTCTATCAAGAGAGTGAGAGACATATGAACTCTCACAAACGTATTTGTACAATTTATGATAAATTTATGAAATCATAGACTTGGTATATGATATTCGGGTTTAAACTTATGCGTGCACCCAAATTCTATCAATCAAGTTCAGCAACACATATTCTTAGGTGTAACCTCCTACACCTAGAAGTAGATGTCACTGCTCAAAATGCAGCTTAGTTTCCTTTTTAAAAAAATTTGGTTTCTTCTTTTCCAATTCTCTCTCTTCTCTTGTATTTCCTAATTCTCATCAAAGTTTTCTATAAAAATTTTCATTACTATAGTTTGTTCTCTGTTTTTTTTCTTGGAAAAATTATTCTATGTTTTTTCTCCTTCTTTAATTTCTTTTTTCTCTGTTTTTTCTGGAAAAATTATCCTCTATTTTGCGATTGCATCTGTTTCGATTGGATAAATATGGAATTGGTTGTTCTCGACGAAGACATCGTCAATGCAGGTTAGTTGCTTAATTTTTTGATTTCTAATTTTTTTTTTTTGTTAGTTTCAGTTGTAATTGTGTTTTGTATGATTTTAGGTTAGCTTCGATTAGTTTCGATTGATCAGTTATTCAATTTCATCTGATTTTTGGTTATGTTCGATCAATTTGATGTATTATGTATAAATTTCGATTTCTTATGAGCTAATTAATTTCATCTGATTTTCTACATTTTTTTTATCAATGAACATAATCATGCAAAATATGAACATATGCATAGGTTCCCTTAAATGTGAATATTACCTTTTCAAAAAGTGAATATAGGCATAAAAAATATGAACATTTGTATTTCAGAAAGTAAACATAACAATTCAAAATATGAACATAAGCATTTGTTTCCTTTAAGTGAATATAAGCATTTAAAAGGTGAATATATGCGTAAATAATATAAACATGTGTATTTAAGAAAGAGAACATATGCATAAACAGATTTAATGAGAATATTTCATGAACAACAAATATTAACTATGAATATTTACATCATGAACATATAAAATATTATTATGAATATAAGACATTTAATTATGAACATAAAAATTGAAGAAATAAAAAATAATATGATTATTAATGAAACATATGCATCATAAGTATTAAATGTGACATATGCATTGGTTCATTTTTTAATGCGTATGAACATAATTAAGCATTTTAGAAAGTGAACATATACATAAAAAATATGAACATATGGATTTAGAAAGTGAATATATGCATTTCAGAAAGATTACAAGGATTCAAAATATGAACATAAACATCTAAGAAAGTGAACATACGCATAAAAAATATGAACATATGTATTTCAAAAAGTGAACATAAGTATTCAAAATATGAACATAAGAATATTTCGAACAATAGAGTATCGAACAATATCCAAACAGGTTTCAAAAAAAAAAAAAAAAAAAAAACAATATCCAAACAAAATTAAGTAAAATTTAAAATTAAGTGATAAACATATAAATTCAAACAAAATTAAGTAAAATTTACATTAAATTGCATTTTTAAGGGAGAACTTGTTTGATTTTTCATCTCATTTCAAATATTCATGGTTGTTTTGAAGAGAGAGTGAATTGTGTTTGATTGTTAGAGGGAGAAAATCAAATAAATGAATAATAAATTTCAGAAATTTAAATTTAAGAGTGACGTTTTTTTTTAAAAAAAAAAAATAATAGCCGTTGAAAGTGATGGTTGAGTGGGCTGTAATTTAAACATATGTTCAGTTTTTGGGTGGGCTCATTTTGGTTTGGGGCTTTTTTAATGGGGCACGTTTGAAATTGGGCTTGTGGGTTGATGTTGCATCTAAAATAAGTGCACGAGGATGCATCTTAGACCTATTGCAAAAACAAGGTGTAATAAAAGTCGCCAAGTATATTTTTATTTTTGTTACATTTGTTGGATATTTCTAATAACTATTTTTCGTTTTTGTATGGGATCGGAATGGGAAATTTATACTTTCCCTTTCTATTTCTATATAAAACGCAGATGTTAGGCTCGTATGATTCATGGTAGATTGATTATAAAATGGTTGATCGCTCAATAATTTGATGTTCTATTTCTTTTGTTCAGTTTGTCAAGTGATTGTCATCGCTTGTTAAATTAGTAATATTATTTGGTGTTTGATTTGAATAAAAAGAACTTATTTGCAGAAATTGTTGAATAAAAAGAACATTAAAACCCATACTTTAATCATGTTATAGTAGTCACGAATAAAAGAAAGTTATCAAATTAAATTACTTATTCAAGTTAAGCATTTATTACAAAGTGATAGAAATTCAATTAGCAACTTGACAAAGCTTACAACTTGATTTTAGGCACTAAGTTATGTAAGGGTTAAGAGCTCAAACTAATTGCAATCGACCCATAACAATGAAGAACAAGCAAGCACAACAACTAAGAACATCCACGAAGAAATTAAAGCAAGTAAAAGTGAGATAATGTTACCATGGGAAAACCTGAGAATTGGGAGAAAAAAACCCACCCTTGCACTATGGAATAATATTGATGATGAATGAAATCAGGAATTACACGCAGGAATTATATGGAATTCGAATGCTCACCTAAAATATTGGAGAGCAGTGTTGGTTACCGTTTAGAATTTATTTTATTTTTTAAATTTGAATTTATTTAAACTTGGGTTGATTTATTTACCACTTTTAATGGGTCTTGAATAACGGTCATGGTTTCAAGTTGTAAGACTTAATTTGTTTTTGTTCATTTCTTTTGAAACTTATTTATAACTGACTAGATTTTTAATTAGCCTTAATGTTTGAACACGTGACGGTAGCACGTTAGTAATTCTCTTGGATTTTTTTTTTTTTTTTTTTTTTTTTTGGAAAGACAAGAGCATCTCCCGTGGCAAGCTTTTTAAAGATAAGAACATCAAAATCTCCGGTGGCAAGCTATAAAAAATTGTAGCTTGCTTTTCCACATAAATTTCTAAGCTACAATACTTTTAAGCAACAACTTGTTCCAATGAAAATTAAATAAATAATTTTACACATAGTATAGTATGAGTAGAATTTATTTCTCTCTTTTTCTATCAAGCATGTAGCTTGTTTGGGCTACAGTTACTTGCATGTTGCTCAATTTTTTGTTCTCCAGTGATAAGCATGTAGTTAGGAACTTTATTTAAATTGCAAGCAAGTCCTTATAATTGAACCACTGGAGATGCTCTAATGCTCTTCGATTTTACATGATTTTTTTATAGGGATAAAGGTATTTACAAGTTTAAAGAGAGAATTATGGAGGTTTAACAAAGTATAGATTATTAATATTATTTTAATTAAAATAAAATGTATGTAAAAAAAAAAACCCTAGCCTCCTCTCTGAACTCTCTCCTAAACTCTAGCCTCCATTGTCAATTTGAAGGGGCTTCCAATGGATTTCACCGGTGGAAAGCCCTAATCTTTATTATTTTTTTTAAGCTTTTTGTTTTTTTTTTGTTGCAATAATGTCTCCCTCGAAAGAAAGGGTTTATCTCTTTTGAAAGACAAGGTTTTCTTGATCTCCTTCGAATGACAAGGTTTTCCGGACTCCTTCGAAAGACAAGGTTTTATTTGTGTTTATTTTGATCTGCGGTTTTACGGGGCTACGATTGATTATGGCTCGGATTCGGATTACGGGTCGGAATCAGCACAATAATTTACTTACTCCCAAAATTGCGAAGCGATGACGGATCTACTCAAAAAGTTGTATGAGACAACAACTCGAGAATGTGTCGAATTGTTGTATTTATGTATTTGGATTCTTAGCCCTTCCCCGATTAATTCTTGTTTGATTGTGTTAAATTCGTTTTCATTATCGTTACTTATCAATTGTAGATGTCGTATGACTATAATTAATGAAATTTAATGTCCTTTAGGACTTCTTTCAAAAAAATAAAAAATAAATAAAATGTATGTATTTATATAAATCTTTATTATTATTATTTTTAATAAAAAAATGTTTAATTGTTTATATCGCAATATATATATTTTTTATAATTAAGGCAAGTTTTTTTTTTCTAATTTATTTTTTGTTAAAAGTATTTGCCAAACTCGTTTGTAAAAACAACTCATAGGGTTTAAATATTTTTTTTTAATTACAATTAGTATTTTAAATGAACGACTTACAAATGTGACTATAGCTAGATTCTTTGTGGTGCAAATATTTACGAATTTGACGAATGAATGGTTACTTGCATTAAATGATTGGAAAATTGAGATTATAAATCCCAACTTTGGGTGGTTTACTTTGAAAAATCCCAACTATGCATTATCCCTAAAAAATCTCAACTTTGGTACTCATTTTATTTTATAGATACCAGATGACCGGTTACTTGAAGAGAAGGTTAACTCATTTTTTCTAAAATAAAATCGCCACTTGTCAAAATTTTAGTGGTCCAAACAATAAAATTAATAATTGTTATTTTTTAAAAAAATCTGATTTATTCAAAAAATTAAAAAAAACCCAACCCCCAGCTCCCACCCCAATCCCAGAAAACACCTCACCCTCACCCCCACCCCAGCACCCCGCCGGAAATCGCCTCCCATCCCCGAAAACCTCTCCCCGCCGCCGTAAAACGGCGCCCACCCTTCCCCCACCCCCAATAATCCCTTCATGTCGCCGGAATCTGACGAAAAAACCCTCCCCCCACCCTCGTGAAACCCTCCCACCCTAAACCTTAAAGCCCCCTCCCAAAACCCCCACCCTCGAAGTCGCCCCCTCCCTTCCCCCACCCCAGAAATCGATCCACGGTTGGGGAAGGGGAAGGGGGCGTTTTCGAAGGTGGGGTTAGGGGAGGGGTGTTTTCCGGGTTAGGGGGTTAGTGGGTGGGTTTCGCGAGGGTGGGAGGAGGGACAGGGGTGGGTTTTCGAGGGTGGGAGAGGGTTTGTCGTCGGATTCCGGGGATGGGGAGGGGTTGTCGGGGTTGAGGGCGATAATCCGACGAGGGTGGGGTGTGGGTAGGGTGTTTTCCGGGATGGGGTAGGGGCTACTGTTTTGATTTTTTTGGTTCATTTAGTTTTTTTTTTTTTGAATTAATTCTTTTTAGTATTTATTTTTTGAATTATTATTTTACCAATCTCGTGTTGACACGTGGATTGTAACCTAAAGTAATAGGTTTGGTGACCTGTTGGGATCTTTAAAAGAAAATATGTATCAAAGTTGGGATTTTTGAGGGATAATGCATAGTTGAGATTTTTCATCGTAAATCGCCCAAAGTTGGGATTTATAAACTCAAATTTTCCTATAAGATTTTAGTAAGCTTGAAAACCGTCTTCGAACCAGAGTTTTCCCCTTTTTCTGGGTACACATAACAAAGTACCACGACCGAACAACAATTTAATTCGGTAAAAAGTAGAAGGAACAAGCGGCATACCTTCTCTTCTCGTAGCTACGTTCTATCTGTCTTCAATTATTCTATTTCTATAAAGATCAGATCAGGCGTGCTCAAGGCTTTTTTCTACCCAATCCTAAGTAGTGTACACTTCCTAAAAAGATAAAATTAAAAAATCCTAAGTATTCTACACCTACGGACCTTCCTATAAGTAGTGTACACTCCAAATTTCACATAATTTATTTTGCAAGTCAAACTACTCTGTTATAAATTGCTTCAAACAAATACCCTAACCAACCGTTCTTTCTTTCCCTTATCCGACGTTAAATCCCTCAAATTTCCATCCTGTCTAAACAAATAAAACTATGGAAGGTAAAAAAGAATTGCCGGCAATAGGAATCGATCTCGGGACAACATACTCTTGTGTTGGAGTATGGCAGCACGGCCGTGTTGAAATCATTATCAATGATCAAGGAAACAGAACGACACCATCTTGTGTTGCTTTCAATCAAACCCAGCGTCTTGTTGGCGAGGCTGCTAAAAATCAGGCTACTTCTAATCCTATTAATACTATTTTTGGTTCGTTTTCTACCTCTTAACCTCTATCCTTCAATCTTCATGTATATCATGTTACAATATAATTTTGCTTCGTTTATTATACTTCGTATAACAACGTTTGGTCACAGATGATATTCCTAAATCCTAACGTGTGTCCATATAATAGCATCCATGTTAGCTAAAACTGACCGTAAACCCAGATGAAATTATTTTTATCAAATAAATATTTAATGTACACTAGAATTATTAATTAATCCGTAATTATGTTTTACTAGATTGACTTTATAATGTGTGTCCAATATATGTCGATAGCATCCGGTTTAGAAAGTAATTATTCCTAGTTGATTTTAGTTGAAGGGAAATAATCTTTAAACTTCAAATAATTATCGTCGATTAATTGAAACTTATTATTGTTGTTCATTTTTAATACTTTTGTTAATTTTTAGTTGCAATAAAAAATACATTGTGTTACGTCTTATAAATAATACCCTTTGTTACAACTAAAAGTTAACGGATGTAGTACTTATTGTAAACAAGCACTTCCACTCGGGGATGTCTAATATCTCATATTGTGAAACAAAATTTGTTTCTCACGTGATATTCTCCATGAGAAACAAATTTCGTTTCTCAATATGAGAAGATAGCATTCTAAAAATCTGATATTGTATTCAAAAGTGATATCACTTGAATAAGTGTTATTGATAAGTAGGGAATTAAAGTTGAAGTATTTAAAAATTGTAAGAGGAAGACAACGGATTGATGATTATTGCAAAGTGTTATTAGAATGTAATTATTTTATATATAAAAAAAATGAAACAATCGTCGTAAAGAGACAATGGGTTAGATATACTCTTTAACTCTTATATGTCTCCTAAAGCACATTTAACTACTTATGTAGTTATGTTTTTTATTTTATTTTAAAAGAGTTTATACTTCTCCGTTTCATAAAATTGCAACAAGAGCTCTCACATTTAGTCAAAGTTTTGCAATTTATTTTGAAACAAATTGATGCAATAGCTGTATTACATTTGTCAATTTCTTATAATTGCTTTCTTAACCACTGGAATAAACTACAGATGCAAAGAGGCTTATTGGCAGAAGATTCACTGATGAAATAGTGCAGAATGACATGAAACTCTGGCCTTTTAAGGTTATTTCTGCGTCTGAAGACGACAAACCTGTTATTGTAGTCACCTATAAGGGCGAAGAAAAGGAATTTTCTGCAGAGGAAATCTCTTCAATGGTCCTAATGAAGATGAAACAGACTGCAGAGACCTACCTTGGCTCAGAAGTGAAAAATGCTGTTATCACTGTCCCGGCTTATTTCAATGATTCCCAGCGTCAGGCAACAAAAGCTGCCAGTACCATTGCTGGACTCAATGTCATGCACATTATCAATGAGCCAACTGCTGCTGCCATTGCCTATGGTCTAAACGATATGAGCAATGATAGGAAAGACATGGCTAAGAACGTGTTAGTTTTTGATCTTGGCGGTGGGACATTTGATGTATCTTTGGTCAGAATTAGTAAACAGGCTTATGAAGTGAAAGCTGTTAACGGAGACACTCATTTAGGTGGTCAGGATTTTGATAGTAGAATGGTTGACTACTTTGTGTCTGAATTTAAGAGGAAACATAACAAGGACATCAGTCAGGAGCGCAGGGCTATTGGGAGGTTGAGATATGCTTGTGAGAGGGCTAAAAGGATGCTTTCATCAGCTACTGAGACTAGTATTGATGTAGATTGTCTCTACGAGGGTATTGATTTTTATTCAACCATCTCCCGTGCCAAGTTTGAAAAGTTGAACCTGGATTTGTTTAAAAATTGTATAAATCCTGTTAAGAGATGTTTGGAAGACGCCAATATGAAAAAGGGTGATGTTGATGATGTTGTTCTTGTTGGTGGGTCAACTAGAATTCCAAAAGTTCAAGAATTGTTGAAAGATTTTTTCAAAGGGAAGGAACTTTGCCAAAGCATTAACCCGGATGAGGCCGTTGCATATGGTGCTGCAATTCAAGCTGCAATCTTGAGCGGTGTACGTAACAATAAAGACTTCACACTAGTAGATGTTACTCCTTTGTCCCTTGGGGTTAGGCTTTATTATGGTGAAATGAATATTGTGATCCCGAGAAATTCTACCATTCCAGTGAAAATGTCAACTATTCTTTTCACTGCTTATGATGGTGAGACAACCGTTCCATTTAGTGTATACGAGGGTGAGAGACCTATCGCTGAAGACAACAACTTCTTAGGTACATTTACTCTGTACGATATCCCTCCAGCACCGCAAGGTCAAGAAAAATTTGATGTTTGCTTTGAAATCGACAATGATGGTATCCTTACTGTGTCAGCGCAGCATATAGGCACTGACAACAAAAAACAAATCAGTATTGCAAATCACAGTGGTAGGTTATCCAAAGAAGAGATTGATCGGATGGTAGAGGAAGCCAACAATTACAAGGCAGAGGACGAGCAGCACAAAAAAGCTGTCAACGCAAAGCTTGCATTACAGAATTATGCTGAAAGTATGTTGGACATGGTGGAAGTTCGCTGGAACAAGTTTCGAGAGTTTCTGAATAAGAGGAAAAGTTGAATGAACTCAAGACAATTCTCGGCCTTATAATTTGGAGACATGCCTTGACAAAGGTGCTGCTATCAGCTAGAGATATTTCATGTCATTACTCGTTAGCTACAGGTTTCTAAATTATACACTTAACATGCATGTATAATCTTAGCTTTTGTCTATGGTCGTGTAACGGTGTAACAAATTAATTTCAGATTACAAATTATTTTTGTGAAAATATGTTTTTGGTCTTTTTAGATTGAATTGACATTTAACAAGACTTAATTACTTTATACCCCCCTTAAGCTTTTTTGGATTTGGGCTACCTCCTGAGCTATTAAGTTGAAAATAATAATCCTACCTTTCGCCCATCTGCTCAAAATAATCCCACATTTTCGAATTCTAGAAATAATCCCACCTTTTCGAATTCTAGAAATAATCCCACCTTGTAACCCCATCTTCCGAAAATGAACCTTTTTCATTTAATGACCGGTTGTGTTGAATTGTTAACCTATTTTAAAAGGTAATTTGACACGTGTCACTTTTTAATTGATTTTTTAAAATATTAAAGAATTAAAATAAAATATCTTCTTCTTCCTTCCCCTGCCTCTCTGCCAGAGCCCCCTTTCCCTTACCACCAACAAATCCTAGGGCTGGCAAACAGGTCGGGTCGGGTCGGGTTCAGGTCGACCTGTTTACATAAACGGGTCAGGACCCCCCAACCTGAACCCGACATGTTTACTTAAACAGGTCAAAAAAACCAACCTGAACCCGACCTGATTATAAACGGGTCGACCTGAACCCGACCCGCCTAAACCTGATTTTTTTTAATTAAAAAAAATAAAATAAAAACCTGTAATTTACTAATTTCTTTATACTGTAATTTTTTTAACCTGTAATTTGACTAATTTCTTTAACCTGTAAGATTCAAGTATTCAAGACTTCAAATTCAACACATAATTCAAGCAAACATAACTTAACAACATAATTCAAGAGTTACATGTCCAAAATACTTCCAAGTAGGCAAATAAAAGTTCAACTAGAAAACCAAATACATGTCCAAAATAACAGTAACAGTTTCATCAACTAATTTTAGAAGAAATTAACAACATAATCAGGTTTGACTCTCCATGACAGCAGGACTTTCTGGTGCACTTTGTGGAGGGCTGGGGCTGGGAGTATCCCCCACATCATCGTTGACTTTCATGGCCATGATTTTTCCACATAAATCTTGCAATTGCGGATCCATATTAGCTACAACCAAAAGAATACATACAAAAGTTAATTTCAGCCTTAAGCATAAATAAAATAGTACAAAAAAGAAACAAAAAAAATTGTAATTTTAAATACATAAACTATTTTCATACCTTCACCAAAAGTCCAATCTTTGAGGCAAATGATAGCTTCTGCTGTGTTTGGTTTCAAAGAGCTTCTATAGCAGTCCAAAACTCGACCACCAGTACTGAAGGCAGATTCTGAAGCTACTGTTGAAATAGGGATTGCAAGGATGTCCCTTGCCATCTTTGAAAGAATTGGATACCTCACAACATTTGTTTTCCAATGATATAGAATATTAATGTTGGTTGCACGAGGAATCAATGGCTCTTCCAAGTAGATTTGCAAGTCAGATTTAGCAGCAACATATGATTTTCTAGAAGAGAAGTTATCAAAGTCCTAAAAGATGTTTAAACAAAAATTACAATAAAGCATACAAAAAACAGAATTTAAAGCTGATTATCAAACAAAAAGCAAGTGTTCACAGTTACCATCATAAAAGAATCAGAAGCAACATCAACTTGCTCTTCATTAGGCTGTCTAGAAGAACGGCGCCTTGTTCGTGGTGTTGTTGTGGAAGCCTCAGTCACATAAACACCATATAAATAATCCAACCTTTCCTTGAACTTCACCAACTCATTAGTACCCTCTATTTCCCCATACACCTTCTTAAAAGCCCACTCCACAAACTCATACTTAAATCGAGGGTCTAAAACAACAGCCACAGCCATGATTATGCTAAAGTTGGTCCAATATTTAGCAAATTTCTCATTCATTCTTGCTGCCATCTTATGCATGAAGTTATCAGAATTTTCAAGCTCCTCTTTCAAGAGTAAACGGATTTTCAACACATTTGGGAAGTATACATTAGCGGTAGGATAATTAGTACCCGAAAAAACATTTGTCACATCAAAAAAGACCTTCAAAAATCTAAATAACTTCTCTATTCTCCCCCACTCCTCATTTGTTGGACAATGAATGTAATTGGCATCAACCTTTTGAAAATGAAGAAAAGCTTTTTTGTAGTACAAAACATTCTCTAACATCAAATAAGTTGAATTCCATCTAGTAGGGACATCTTGTCTCAATCCTCTACTTGAGTCTAGTTCAACATGTGCCACACAAGTCAAAAAACGTTGCTTTCTAGCCTTAGACCCTTTACAATACTTCACAGTTTCTCTCACCTTAACAACAGCCTCATTAATTTCTTTTAACCCATCTTGCACAATTAAATTTAGGATATGTGCACAACACCTCACATGGAAATAATCCCCCCCACATACCAAATCAAGTTCATTTTTAATTACATCAGCAAACACATCATTAGAGGAAGCATTATCAAGAGTAATACACATGATTTTCTTTTGGATACCCCACTCTTTAAGAAAATCATAGACATGGTCAGACATATGGACACCGGTGTGAGGTGGAGGCAAAAAACGAAAGTTCAGAATTTTTTTTTGCAAATTCCATTGATTATCAACAAAATGGGCAGTCAAAGACATGTAACCATCAGTAGTAATTGAAGTCCAACAATCAGATGTAAGAGAAATCCTACCCTTAACTACACTCAACTCCTCCTTAAGTTTATCTTTTTCCCTCTTAAACATTTTCAGAACATCAGCCTTCAAAGTATTTCGAGACACAAGTTTAACATCAGGATTTATGTAATTAATCAACTTCCTAACAGCACTATATTCAGCAAACTGAAAAGGCAAATCATGTTTCACCACAGCAATAGACAACATCTCACGAACAATATCATAATCAATTGTAGGAACCCTATTCATCATAGAACCAGAACTGCTTGAATCAATAATCATCTGACCCACATCTTTAAAGGTCCTTTTTTTACATTTCTTAATGTGGCGTTTTAAATTACCAGTTCCTTGCCTACTTTCAGCATTATATTTCTGCCCACATTTTTTACACATGCAAATGATGTTACCTTGTTCGTCAGGTTTATCAAGGAATTCAAAATTTGCCCACACATCTGAAGTGAGCTTTCGTTGGCGCTTGAAATGAATTCCAGGCTTATTCAGCGAGGTGACATTAGAGGTTTTCTTCTTTGATTCCGTTTGATGAGAATCAGAAACTTCATCATCTGAATCAGAATCCGGAAGATCAATGGGTTCATCAGGATTAGGGCTATTAGCCATCTGTGAATAAATTAAAAAAAAGAATTACACTCATATCCGAAGTATAAACATGAAAAACAGAAGTATAAACTCATGAGTCATGACATAAAGAATCAAACTCATGAAATTGCAGAGTAAGAAAATCAAATCAGGGCAAAAAATCGCATAAACGAATCGCAAATAATCGCAAAATAAGTAAATAACAAATCAAATCTTCGAAAGAAATTGCAGAGTAAGAAAATAACAAACGAACAACATTAAATGATTAAATCACATAAACAAAGCATACATAAACCATAATAGCAAAAAATCGCTTAAAAAATCAAAGAAATCTGAAAATTGCATAACCAAATCAAGGAAATTGCATAAACAAATGACTCATGAGCAAACAAACTCATAAAAAATCGAATAATAGGATTATTACCTTCAGAATGTTTGAGATGAAGCTTCAATCTTCAAGGTTCAAGAATTTTTATTTCAATCTTCAAGAGTTAGAGAGAGAAAAGAGAGGAGAGAAGAGAGAGAAACTGAGAAGAGAGAGAGTTTGAGTGAAAGTCTGAAAGAAAGCGGCGAGTGAAAGAGGAAAAGCTTAGGGTTAGATAATTTGGGCTTGGCCCATATTTTTAAATTAGGGTTTTAAGTTAAGCGGGTTGGGTTCGGGTTGACCCGACCTGAAACCGACCCAATTAAATAAACGGGTTTATGCGGGTTGGTTTCGGGTTGGGATTTTCAACCTGAACCCGACCCATTTAACTTCAGGTCGGGTTCGGGTTGACCCAATTACATAAACGGGTTGAAAATCTCTATCAAAACCCATTTATTTCGGGTTGGGTTCGGGTCGGGTTGTCGGGTCGGGTCAGCTTTTGCCAGCCCTAACAAATCCTAAACCCCATCACAACCAGTGACCCAGCTGACCGTCGCGCCTTACCACCATCACCACCATCACAACAAATTCAACAACCCCACAACACCCAGCCACATCGCCCAGCCACATAAACAACCCCAGTGCACCTCCTCCAAATCAGTTGTTGCCGCATAAATCAACCATCGCACAACCTCAAAATTCGCCCAACATATCCCACAACAACCACCACTTCACTAATTCCACAATTACCCTAACCTCCGAGCCACCGTGATGTCGTAGCCCCACAAATCGCAACCACAAGCATCAATTCAACCCTAAAATGCAGCCACAAGCTCCAATTCAATCAGCCAATTTAAATGGGGTTTCGGGTGGTATTCGTGGTGGTTCGAAGAGGCTGGGGTTCGAAATTGGTTTTCGAGTGGTCTTCGTGGTGGTTCGAAGAGGCTGGGGTTTGAAATTGGGATGGTTTTTCGGGGAGGGAGAAAGGGGAAGGAGGGTTTCAATTCGCCGGTATTAGTGGGGCAGAGGTGCGGTTAAGCTATCGCCGATGGGGTGGGGCTGGGTTACGGTGATGGTGGTGGTGATGGCGGTGCTAATGGTGGGGTGGGGGCTGGATTACGGTGTTTGGGTTTTTTTTTCTTTTTCTTTTTTTTTTTATTATTTTGCCTTTGTTTTATTATTCAAACAAAAAAAAAATTACCTGTTGAAACGGTTGTAGGTAAAAAGGTTCATTTTGGGAAGATGGAGTTACAATGTGGGATTATTTGTAGAATTCGAAAAGGTGAGATTATTTTGAGCAGATGGGCGAAAGGTGGGATTATTCTTTTCAATTTTTCCTAAAACATTTTATTTAATTTAGAACACTCGGAGAAAAGTTTAGAACATCAAATTTAAAATTTTGAACATACGAGTAAAAATTTAGAACATAAAAAGTGTTCTCACATAAAAAGTATGAATTCTCACCGGATACATATACATATATATATATATATATATATATATATATATATATATATA